TTCTCTTCTATCAGTTTTTGCGGAGGATATCATATCAGTTTGATTTTTCAATAACACACAGAAGCATCAAAAAATTATTTTGCAAAAGTTTATTCAATGATTGAATAACATTTTAGTAACTTTTTGGATAATTTACCAGTAAGGTACTGATGAGGTTCCGGGAGTGCTCAATGCTAGAATATTATATCAGTCATTTTTAAGGTAGATTCGCCAACACAATTCCAAAGAGTCGGTGGTAGCTCGATGGGTGGTGGTGCATTTATTGGTCTGGGGAACCTTCTGACGCAGGCACAAAGTGAGTTCTTGTTAACGAGGTCTTAATTTCTCGAAAACTCTTTGATGAGATGGTAACCTATACGCTTTAGGTTTCGATGAGCTTTTGCTGATGGCTGAAAAGGGTGATCACCGTAAATGTGACACACTGGTACGTTTGCTTGTTTACTTTTTGTTATTTTGTTACCGAGCAGTGTTCTTTTTGCTATTATTTTTTGAATCTCCGAATATTCTGACAAATAGTTTTAACATCTCACCATTACATCTTCTCAATGATTTTAACTTAAATAAATAAGCATGCCTCGAGAAGTTTCCAGCCATTGTTAGCTTATTATAGGTATGTGATATCTACGGTGGTTCGTACGACAACCTGAATCTGCCCGCAGACTTAATTGCTGGTTCTTTCGGAAAATGTAGTCGAATGGGTAAACGTAACGCTCGAGGAGATCATGAGCGGGCTTCCCAGCAGGATATTGCCAAATCACTACTGCTAATGATTAGTAATAACATTGGGCAGGTGCGTTGACGTTTATAGTAGAAGAAGCTCGAAGTTGCTGATAATTTCAAAAGTTTTGTTTTAGATGGCAATGCTGTATGGAATGCGATTTACATTGAAACGGATATACTTTGGCGGGTTCTTCATTCGGAAACATCCGATTACTATGCGAACATTATCGTATGCTATTAACTATTGGAGCAAAGTAAGTTTGCTACAAGTACTAGTTACACTAATTTTTCTGCCAGTACAAGCTGCTTTTTCTCTACTTTGCATCTCACACTTTGTAGTTGTGGACGCAGCTAAGAAATTTAACACCTAATTGTGCCGTGACCGTCTTGGCAGTCACGTGGAAATATTGTTTAAATCTTGGATAGAGGACCGGTCTACACTGCGACGGGACTTTAGTGGCTATTGTTGCCGTCTGTTCCATCTAGGCTGACTCGTTGAATCGGTAGCTGTGAACGTGGCTTACCAGGAAGGTCTTTCAGGGCGTGACGAGCTTTTTGAAAACGGTCTTTTGCATGATATAGGGGCAGATGCGGGAACCACAGAACCATGTTCAATTTTTCCTGAACGGCCCTCTGAATACCAGAAAAGGGGTCCCTAGTTCGATTCCTCGTGGTGACAAATTTTTGCATTTCGAGTTGACGTTCCAAAATTCGCGCAAAATGGAGTTAGCATGAATAATTAGTACCATATTCATGATTAGGACCGTCAGTAACCCTACAAAAAGACTTTGACTTAAAAATTGGTGTAAGAGGTGTGACACCAAGCAGCCCCACTGTGGTGTCACACCTTTTCACCAGTTTTAATCAAAGTCTATTTGTAAGGGTTACTGACGGTCCTAATCATGAATATGGTACTAATTATTCATGCTAACTCCATTTTGCGCGAATTTTGGAACGTCAACTCGAAATGCAAAAATTTGTCACACGAGGAATCGAACTAGGGACCCCTTTTCTGGTATTCAGAGGGCCGTTCAGGAAAAATTGAACCATGGTTCTGTGGTTCCCGCATGTGCCCCTATATCATGCAAAAGACCGTTTTCAAAAAGCTTGGCACGCCCTGAAAGACCTTCCTGGTAAGAACACGAAACCACAGCGAATAGCAGCATGCTTCACGCGCAACTGTAAATGCGTATTATGTAGGGGCACACTTCGCTACATCTAAATGAAGGTTGCTTTCACGAAAAAAGTGGAAAGTTACCAACTGCAAAATCGGTGCCATTTCTGCAATGCTGAAGCGCGTTGAGGATTTTATGAATTCCTGGTAGCTACTTTAACAGTGGTATAGTCCCCAGAATAGCTCGGACTGGCCTATGCGTTTATGGCTGGGTTCTCGCTCGTCCTTGTGCTTCAATCTTTTCCGTTTGCTTTCTCGTCTTTAGTATCTAGTTCTTCTTCTTCGCCGTAGGCTTGTACAAAGTTTGAAAGCAACTTAATGACGTATACTAGAAATAGCGTTACTGCACAACCGTATGGTTAATCGCCCAAACAATTCATTTATTTTCAGGGTAACATGGAAGCTTTATTCATGAAACACGAAGGATATCTCGGAGCTGTGGGCGCTTTTTTGGACACTCATTCTTGAGTGCCATATCCATCGAAATTCACTATGCCCAGACCAATTGTAGCCACCCATCGTTTGTTAGTCGGTGCGACGGTGGCTATTGAAACCAAACGTTGTTTCTGAACTAGATGCCTGCATGCGATGTACGTTCGTCTTACGGATGCCCATCATCTCTCTGTATAAAATTCCATGATGTCATTCCTGAATCTATTTGTATGAGTTTAACCGTGTCCTATGGATCAGTGGACTGAGCTTTGAGTCCAATAGGAAGATTGTGTTGTGATTGTTTGGCTTCTCGTTTGTAGCAACCTAACCCTCACTAACTTATTAACTAACCACCACTAGTGTTGTTCGGAATGCTGTTAAATCATTTCTAGACCGTATTGTCGTTTTACTGAAGAACACTGCTGACCATGAAATAGATGCATGCAGCAGAGTTCATCGACTGAAAGTCTCACAAAAGCATGTTTCATTTCACTCACCTACTTACACACTTGTTTCAAGGCCAAATAACTGTTAATTCCAATATTTATTGATGTTGCACAAGGAGAGTTTTATACAGGTGTTTTTCTACTTATTTTAGTGTATTTATTTGAACAGGTGTAATAAAAAAAAGCGCTCAAGATAGTGGAAAGCACGAAAAAACTTTTGGTAGTACGGTATTGAACGCAGTGGAAATACTGCTCTATTTTTCTCACCCTAATTCAGAAAGTTGACGTACGTCTATTTCTTCTTTCGTTAAGAGTAATTTTGAAGAATGACTTAGTAATTTGGATTACCTTTTTGTCAATGATTTTGCAAAAGGTCTGCAACAAAGCGACGATACTTCACCAGATCGACACTCTGGTTTCTAGCAGTGGGACGTGTCGCAATTGCAGACCTAGCGGCACGCGCGACAACGGCCTTTAAAGATTCGATGCCTCGTGTTTTTGATGTCTTTGATGCTATACAATGCCAGGTGTTGCTGGAGCAGGCCAAAGCCGGCGATGGGCCTTCAAAACTGCCGGTCGATACGCACTACTCATGGTCAAGGGTAGAGGAGCATCCAGAGGTGACAGGGATAAAGGTACTCGCATCGCGAAGAAAATAGTTACTGTATAGGGTACGGTGTGGTAGTTCGTATCCACAGTGCCTCATGAAATAGGGATCTCCTGACACACGCTCTCATACAAACAACGAAGAAAACTGATTCAAATCCATTCGTAGACATTTTGCTCAACACGGAAGTAATTTAGCAAGTATGCCTAGTAAAAGCCCTAAAAAGTACCCATGGGTGATGAATGTAAATTTAGTATGCTGATCAGCAGTGCTTTTAGAAGCCAAAAATGAGCTATAAGAGCCCTTCTGAGAGCATGACAAAACTCCTTTGCAATTATGAAATACACCGAAATTATTGATATTCATTCGTGAATTCACCTGGATAAATGGCGAAGGCGGTTCGGCACATCGCCAACTCTTCTATCAACAATCACGCATCTGGTTCAAATTAACAGGAGGCTCCTCATCAGCCCTCCAAGATCGCGCGGCTTCTCTTGAGGACTCTTAGGCCTAATCATTGTTCTGTTATATGAGAAATTGCTCACCTTCAGGTGCTGTTTTATAATCATATCTTCTAAAATAGCAGCCACGTAGAAGGTGGGCGCAAATGAAGTGAACATCACGCGATCACAGAACTCCTCTGAATTTCCCAGAGCCGGTAGCTATCGTCGCTCAAGCCAATGATAAGGGAGTTTACAGCCGCTGCCCTCGATTGAGATGGTCAATATTGTGGACATAGGTCACATCGTGGATCAAGTTCTGATGAAGCATTTCACTTTTTTCTCAGCCGCAGAGAGCAAAACCTAAACATCTAGCCTTCATCGAAAGATCGAGATAGCTGAAACTCGGTAGGTCGACTCTCCTGGGTTCATCGAAGGGGTCTCTTAGCTCCTACGACTTGAAGCCGGTCGACTTCTACAATGGGTGTGTAGTGCTGGGATCCGACGCCTGTGACAACCATTCAGAAATCCGGAATTCTGGGCTATTCACAAAACAGTCTGTGGTGTGGTCAAAGGAGGATTCCATAATGTTGAATAAGGGGAAACTTACTCGCTGGAAAGACAAGCGAACCGCTAAGGGTATAGACCGACATGCAACTCGCAGCGAAGAATATGCCCCCGGCGACCCAGCATGGCCATCCCTGCGGCGCTATCGGCGCGGCCCATCGAATGGCTAAGCACTAGCCGCAGGTCTCTTGCAGCTTAGCAGAGAGAGCATTTGCGTTGAAAA